CACACACACGCATACACATATACAAACAAGTGTGGCAGTGTATATTTTCACGTTCTAGCGGTAGATTCATTAAATTTTGCTCATCCTATCAATGGAAGTAGCATGAGGTCAACCGCGAGGTTGGAGACTTACATGTTCAAAAGATTGATGGTACCGGTAGGGGCATATCATAAATTTTTCCAACGGATATCAGGCAGGGGCATACGGTAGGGGCACTTCGAAAACATATGAGGCCCAAATGACACTAAGGTTTTATGAAAAATTTGACTGGTGGTCAGAGGGGCGCGACAGGGTAAATCGGCTATCAGAGGGGCGAGACGCAAAATAATGGAAAATACAGAGGTGCCAGACAAATTTTCCCAAAACTAATAAAAAAAAAAAAATAATAATAATATGTTGTACAAAATTGCAATATAAACAATTTTTGCCTGCAGGTCTTGGCGAGATTCTGACCGAACTTGAGAAAACAATCGCGGTACTACTGGGTACTGCGAAGTTGTGCCCTAAAACTCATTGTATAACGTACGTACGTTGTATTCAAATATAACGCATCCGATCTTCTATTCGTATACAACTTGCATACGTTTTTCGGGGGTGAAGACAATAGTCGGATCAGCTCCTAATTGGCCTGCTGACATGTCACTAACTGGCCTCGTTGATGTGCATCGTTGTTACAGCAGATAGGTCAAAAATTCAACTTTATCATAATAACAATATTTTAGCCTAGCCTGAAAGCTATGTCACCTGGGTTGCCTCAGACTGGTCTGTGTGGCCCATTCGGGCTAGGTCTAGGCAAAGTCCCAAAAAATATCCTGAGCAGACACAACGCTAAAAAAAAAGAAATAAAAAAAAGGGCAACTACGCAAGAGTTACAAAAATGAGTTATAATTGCACTATGCGCCAAGATACAGTTTGCAATTGCACTACGTGCACCCTACTTGACAAAAAAGTTGGGATGTATACATTGCCTGAACTGAAATCGCAAACTTTATCTTGGCCAATATTATAATTGTAACTTGTTTTTGTGGCTTCCATGTAGTTTTCCCCAAAATAAAACTAGGCTACGTGGGTCGACCGGCCATGCAATCCAGTAAAGTCACATAAGGGGCTCCTGCATGGGGCACCCCGTGTGGGGAAAAATCAACCCTTTTTTTTTTTTTTTGTCGAGAGTGGGGGATGGGGTCAGGGGAGGTGTATTGCGCATGGCCAGAGAAGCCTTAATCCATGCTCCTTTCGTTTTTTAATCATTGGCTGTCAAGAGGGACAAAAGGGCATAAAAATAATTTTTTAAGAGGTTAAAGTTGTTTAGAGGGGGTGCCTTAGTCTGGTTCTGTTGTTTTATTTTTTTATCTTCGATTACATGTGGAATTCCGATACGACTCTTAGCCAAAGTTGTTTGCATTGCAATTCTACCCATTTTTTTTTTTTGGGGGGGGGGGGGTTAACTTCTATTTTTTATTGTAGGGCATCGAGGCTACTTGGAACCCGGGCGCCCGGGCAAGCAACCTATAAATAAAAATAAACCATTAAAGTATATCACCGTCACTTTCAATGTGCAGCGAGTTTTGTTGAGTCTAGGTCCTATTGTATTTTATTTCCTGACACCCACAGCAGTTTAGGTTAACTTTTATTTTTTTGTTTTAGGGCATCGAGGCTACTTGGAAACCGGGCGCCCGGGCAATCAACCTATAAATAAAAATAAACCATTAAAGTATATCACCATCACTTTCAATGCGCAGCGAGTTTTCTTAAGTCTAGGTCCCATTGTATTTTATTTTCTGACACCACAAAAAATAATTTTCATAACCTCTTGATAACCATCATATACATTCTATGAGGTCCTACTGTGATTATGCCCTTCGCGAGAGCGTTTGTCTCAAGCAGATCAAGAAGAAGGAAAAAAAAAAAACATCCCTTATGTTGTGATTGCGGTTCGTACAGGGTGCTATAGTACTAATGTGAGTATGAGGTGACTGAGGGAGTCAATTGCCCCACATGCAATACGCCCTGCCTCACTAGCAGGACACTACAAGGACATGAAAAGAAAAGGCCCAAAGGGGAAAGAAAAAAAAAGTAATCACATTTCATACATAGTGGTCAGATACATTCCTCAAAAAACTGTTGTGACTTAATGTAAATTAAAGTAAGATGAAAATCCGTTGGTTTTAAGCCATGAGGGTTCGATCCCCTCTACCCCCACTTTTGATGATAAACAGTGAGCGTCTTCCATGACATCGCTTGATCAAAAGTTCATAGTGTTTTTTTTTTTTTTTTCAGTCTCCGACCCTGCTCTGAGTCCCCAACTTATTCAAAATAGGTTACTTTTGTGACTTAGCGTCCCAGTGTACAAGATAGTGGTGGTTTAAGTTTATTTAAGCTCGTTGCAACCCCTTCGCACCTCGCTTATACCCCGTGGACACCCTTTGGTACCCTTTGGTGAGACGCCACCAAATTCAAAGGCAAGGTTGGATTTTGGCACATCTCAGTGGGCACAAAATTGCCCCATTGCCCTCCT